TCAAACGGAAGAACACTTTGTCCAATGAACCTGGACAGGAGGGTTTGGGTGTCTACCGCGATCTTCAAAGAAGCCCCTGGTCCACTTTCATTCAGGCAACCTGAAAAAAGTAACGGCTTTGATTGGTGGTTTGGAGTTGGATTTGAACCCCTGGTTCTTGTGGCTGGCAATTGGAAGCCCCGTCCACCAAACAACCAATCCAAACTACAAATTGGAGGGAAGCTGGTAGTTGTCTCGAGTGCTTCCAGGCAAACCACTATAGTAAGAAACCCTTCTGGATAGGCTTTACATGATGGTTTTCCCTGCTTACCTACCAAAGTGGTAAGTGGAAGCACTGGGTTATATACATACTTAGCATTCACATACACATGTATCTTTTATTGGCTTGCAACATATGGGGCATAATCTGCAAATGGTTTTTTTTTGCGTGTTGTTCAAAGTTGCGTAACAGCAGATGGCAAACCAAAAGGTAAACCAAAGGCAAACCAAGGGTAAAACAACCATGTTTGTACTAGAGGATGCTCTCTGGATGCGATCCTAACCCTTTCAATATGATTCGCGCAATGCCCAATTTTTGGGTTTGGCCATGCCCCTTACCCGCAGAAAGGGAATTGCGCCGTGTCTGCTTTCGCCCTACTCCAAGACCAATCTGCCCCGGGGTGCTCCAAAACCGCCCACGGGTCAGAAGGCGTCAACGTTTTGAGCTCAAATGTTCCCCTTGAAGGAATCACACGACCTGTTCATGGGGCGTACAGTTGTTCGAAACAAACTATTGGGCCCTTCACAGATCCGTTTGACACACAGTTTCTCAGAGACCTTGGGATGGCTTTTGCGTTTCCCATGGTTTGACGGGGCCCTCCTAGAGAGGTCGAATCTGCAGAGCTTCGACTTCACGCTGACGCCCAGTCAAATGGCGGCCATTGACGCTGCTCGGATCCTCTGGTCGGGGAGAGTCGGGGGGAAGCGCGGGCAGGGAGTATACCTGGGAGGATTTTCATGAGGCTGGTCTGAATGCGCGTTTCTTTTTCAGGGCTTACCCTCCAACTCCAACTAACGTGGCACCTCACAGAGAGTCCCTTCAGGAGCAAATCGATCTTCCAGGTACCCTCCAACAGGGTCTGTGTTAGTGGGAGAGAGTTTTGGAATGAGGACCGGCTCCAATTCCCAATGCAGCTGTCCGAGGGATCGCCCATTAAAGGTAGACCAGTTGAGAAAGAAGGGACCATCATATTGCCATGAAGGATCAGGAAGGATCCAAGACAAAAGGACTTGGCGACCATAGTTGCGCGCTGTGTGAGTCCCGCTGAAGCCTCAGAGTCATATGTTTGTTTATTTGGCAATGCAAGACTATCAAAAAGGGTTTTGGGTTTTTGGGTTTTTGGGTTTTTTGGGGTCTTGGGGTTTTGGGTTTTTTGGGGTCTTGGGGTTTTGGGTTTTTTGGGGTCTTGGGGTTTTGGGTTTTTTGGGGTCTTGGGGTTTTGGGTTTTTTGGGGTCTTGGGGTTTTGGGTTTGTTGGGGTCTTGGGGTTTTGGGTTTTTTGGGGTCTTGGGGTTTTGGGTTTTTTGGGGTCTTGGGGTTTTGGGTTTGTTGGGGTCTTGGGGTTTTGGGTTTTTTGGGGTCTTGGGGTTTTGGGGTCTTGGGGTCTTGGGCTTAGTGCAATGGGTTTTGGTGCAGGCCATGTCTGATTTGCCACGAGAATTCCATGCCTCAAGCACGAGGCCTTGGATGGGACCCTCGAGTCGAAGGGACTGGGAGTCACCTTCGAGAACCCCGGCGCCTTGGCCCAACGGAGATGGTGCGGAAGGGCGCGGAACCGGAACGGGGTTTCTCAGGTTCTGCCCTGAGTTGGTCTTGCAGGTTGGACTTCTCCCCCCAAGAAAAGTGGTTTTCCGTCTGGTTTTCGGGGGGGAAAAAGGTAAAAAGGGTAGCGGCTCCAAAAAGACGCTTTTTCTAGTCTGTTGCTGGAGGGTTGCGGGTTGTCAAGTTGGCTTTAGGGAACCAACGCCAGGCAAACAAAACAGAAAGTGGGGAGCCCAGAAGCACCTTGTAAAGGTTCGGATTACCCTCTGGTCCACGTTGCCATGGAACCCCTCCAAAGGCCTCTTTCAAAGGAACACGTCGTCTTCCAGGACCCCTCTGAGGTTCCATGTTGGTGGACGGGAGGGTAAATGGAAATCAACAGGGGCGCCACCATGTTTTTTTGGGGCGTCCCTATTTAAATAGGTTTCGTGGTTACGTTTCAGACAAGTGAGACTCACTTTTGGCGGGGGATCTGAAAACAGGCAGCCCAGTTTTGACAGGAAACCTTTTTGGTTTTGAAGCGGAGTCAAACGGCGCAGGTTGAAACCCAGGTCTTACTCTCTGAGCGCGCAGCACAGGCACATAACACATACACACACACACACATACTTCGACTTGCTTAAGAGTATCTTTTATTTCCCCTGTCGGTTTTAAAGGGAATCTATATACCACTACTGGACATATTTTCTCATGTTTTTTTCTGGGGGCGTAAGCAAAATGAAGGCATACATAACCCAATGTTGTCTTAGCAACATGCTTTTTTTGTTGGGCCCCAGTGCCTTGTGCCGCCCTTTGAAGGGAGTACCTAGCCTCCCAGGACCAGAGGCACTGAGCGTCTACTGGCTCAGCCCTACGGGGGCAGTCTCCCGGTTGCGCGTGGCAGATCCTTACGAAGCCTCATTTTGGCTTGTGGTACTGTGGATGGACAAAATCCTGTACCCAAGTTGAAACCATGGTTTGTTGGATTTTAATGGGGTTTTTCTTTGTGGCTTCCTTATAGGGGTTATGGAAGATGGATTGGGCAACACTCCATGATGAGCAGTTCGCCGGACTTGGCGGATCGGCTTTTCTCCCAATCCCCAGCCTCGAGTTGCGGGGTGGGATGCCCAGGGCCCAGGTCCAACTTCACTGTTCTTGGTTTTTGTTTTTTTGGTTTTTTAGTTTTTTGGTTCTGTTCATTTTTACTGGGGGTCTGCAAAAAACAGTCAGTTTTTTGCTACCACACCAAGAGTAGAGATGCCAGGCGTTTGCAGCTCTTTCCCGGCCACGGGAACTCTGCCACAAGGGCCTGGAGTGGAATGGTTAGAATCTCAAAGACAAGTTAACTCATCATGAGACAAATGAAACGGTGTTGGCCAATGAAACCGCAAGCAAACCTGTGATCAGGTGAGCTTCAATCAAAACCCGGGTAGATGAAGGTTAGCACGGGATACTCCCAACCAGAAATAGCTGCGGCCGCCTTCTTAGTTCTTTACATGGTTCTGGGAATCGACCATTTCAATAGAGAGCAGGTCGCCGTGGGGCCTGAAGTTGTGCAACTCTGCTTTGCGCGTGTTTTCAATGTTCTGGAAGCATTTGGCTGATTGAAAACACGCGAAAAGCAGAGTTGCACAACTCCCCGGGATATGATTATGGCTGTGGCTCAAAAAACCGGTACCAAAAGGGACCCCTGGTAAGTGGAAACATGGGCCAAAACCTGCGGTTTGCCCCTCCTGCTTAATTTTGAGCCACACCCATATGACTCAGCTGCAGCTTTCTGGCCCCCCCAAACCTCTCCAAGGAAGTGGCCATGGGCGAGATCCTCCCCGGGGGGCTGCAGGTGCAAACGACCTACCATGACCACCAGCCCTTTGGATCGATCCAAAGCCGAGGTTTGCTTTGGGGGCCTGTAGGTCAGCATGCTGCCAGTGCAGACGTGTGTAACACCATCCACAAGGTGTTCCACACGTTTTTTTGGTATTTTTTTGATGCCTCAGGCGCACAAAGACAGCCTGAAACCGGGGGGGTTACACTTAAACCACTTAAACCCTTCAAAGGGTGGTTCAGACGTTCGGTCCCCACAGGAGAAAGAGCCCCTGGGTTGAAGTCTATCCGGTCCAAAAGCGGAACCCTGCACTGAATCTGATTCCCGGTCAGTGCAGGCTTGCAGAGGGTTGATGACCGTTTTTAGGGGCCGGTGTGAGGTTCGTTTTCAAGTCCGCGGGCCGCATGGTGGCGCAGCACAGGGTCCGTGAGGAACAAGGCGAGCGGCAAGTGAAAGGGGCAGTGTGACTGAGTATGATCCTAAATCGGAAACTTGGGAGTTGTTATGATTATGCGAATGAATGGTGGCCATTCCGTAAATGAGCAAGGCAACTCCACGGCAATCTTTGGTGAAGTTTGCCGTTGTTCCTGACAGCAAGCAGGATGCAACTGCTTATATGTCGAGGAGCCCAACTTACCAGATCATGTGGAGTGCTTTGCTTTGGAAAGCCAGCCGTGCCTGGGCTGTGCACTTCAATGCGCACTGGCTTGGATGGTTAGCTCCCCAACCGTTTCCTTGCCTAGTTTGACACTTGTCCACCCCCGCTGCCCGCTGCCCAAGTCATGGGCCAGCCCACGCCAGGCCAACATCAGCGCCACAGCATCGAGCAAGAGCTCTGAGCCTCCGTGAAGGCCCGTGAAGGCGCCGGGCGCGTGAAGGCCGTGAGTCCAAGCTGACGCTGCGAACCCGAGAAGGCCCCAGGCAATGCGCTTCAAGCTCCCTTTGGATTGGAAGCGGGGGACGCGGCGACGGGAAAAAAGGGATGGGGAAAGGAGGACTGCTGTGCTTGGTGTTCCTATGTCCTGGTGCTGGCCTTCACTGAAGGTTGAGCATGTCGAAGTAGACCCGTGCTTGTCAGGAAACAGTGCAAGTGATGCTAGCTCCTCCGGATGTTTCCAACAAATAGTGTCATGGAGCACGCGAAAGCCAAAGGAAGTGAAATGGCTGTGGCTGCAAAAACCGGTACACAAATGGAACCCCGGTAAGTGGAAACATGGACCAAAACCTGCGTAACCCCCCCTGTTTTAATTTTGAGCCACACCCAAGTGGGACATTCCAGCACAATAGCTGGCCCTGTACTCATGCCCCTTCTGCAGCCCACTTGCTGCTTGCACTTCGCGTCCCGCACCCATGGCTCTCGACACCTCATGCAGGGTATTGCCCGCTACCAGCCCAGGCTGTTGCGAACTTCGGCCAGCACTTGCTCGCGCGTGCCAACTACGTGCAGACCTTCTGCAAGGACAAAGCGTTGCAAGAGTGAAGCAACCTGCCAGTTTGTGCAGGGCTCCTTAAAAGATCTCCATTTTGCAACCAATTGAAACATGTTGCGTTTTCCACCAAAAATAAAGTTGGACACCACCATTTACAAGTTGCAACGTTCAGGTGTATAAGGTAAGGACCCCAGTTTGTGCCATAGCCCAGTTTTCAAGGCACAGGCGCAGACGCCTATGGCCCCAGGCTTGGGTCTCTTTTTTGGCCTTGAGGTCTCCCGACCGCCCATGGTCTGAAATATCGAATCGGGGTAGACGCTGGGCGCATACGCGCCCTTTTTAGGTGATCTTGGCTAGAGATAGATGGGTTCCACTGGTTTAGGTGGGTTAGAGTCCATTGACCAGGGAAACCCATCTATTTTCAACAAAAAGGACACCTATGGCTGGGCTTTTTTTTCAGAGGCCATCTGGGGAGAGCTTCTTCTGGGGAGAGCTTTTTCTCCTCTCCCGGCGCCCGAGTTATCACCCGCCGCGTGGGAGAGGACGGCCAGCACGCCTGGATCATCAAGCACAGCTGCTCGGCTAGAGTGCCTTGACCCCCCCACATGCTACTGTGGATGGTTGATCTCCTGCATCACCTAAGAAACCAAGGGAAACCATAGTTTGTTGGTATTTACAGGCCAATCATCATTCGAGGGTTTCTTAGGTGGTGCAGGGTCCTGTCCATCCGCAGTATGGTTGTCCAGGCCCCCCCCCACAAGGGACCCCCAATCCCGATAGACGCTGATAGTGCCAGCAGTGGGAAGTCCAAGCCTGGGTCGCCCTTAGGAAGCTGCAAGGATAAGGACGGTCGGGGCCAGCTGTGTTGAAACCTGGGGTTCAGGCAGAAGGTGCCAGGATTATAGGATGGCTTGGCCGGCTGCTTGCTCTGTTTCCATTCCGACCAGTGGCATCAAAGATTCAGTCAGGTGACTTGGAGGAGAGCATGCAGGAGATTGGCCGTCGCATGCTGCAATGGGCCGCTCGTTTGCTAGCGCGCTTGTCTTTGAGTTGTAATTGGACGAACTTCTTCACCCCAATGCTCAGGGTGTACGGGGTTCCTCCGATGTTGCAAGTAGACCAGCCTGAAGGCATATTGAATGTACAAGGGGACCCGCGCCCAGAAGAGTCCCTTTTAGGTCAGTACAGTGGACAGTAGATGGCACTGGTTCCGATTTGATTCAAAACACGTACCAGTGCCCTCGATTTTTTTTCTCATAAAGGACACCAAGGCCCTGCCCCCCACCCCCTGCACACCCACATTGCTCGAGTCAATTCTGGGGCTCTGCCTCAAGATGCCGCGTTTTGTTTCTTCTTTTTTTTCTTCTGCGCATCTGCTGGCTAGGCCATCGTCACCACGGCTGATCAGGCGTGCGGTGCGGGCGTGCACCCGGCACAGGATTTAACTGAGGCTCCCCTCCCCAGTTTTACAACTTGTTGGATGGACGGGACCCCTTCATTTAAGCCTTAAGCGGGTTCCTTCACATTCACTCAGTGAGTCAAGATGCAAATTTTCCGATTACATCCAGAGCTTCCAGTTGCTACCTTTAGGGTTTACATCCGGCTTCTCCTTACCTACTGTAGTGACAAGGAAAGTCAGGGATTCAAAATTGGATGTGTGTTGTTTTGAGGTTCGGCAGTTGCAAAGGGGCGCCAAAAAGAAACCACATTTTTGAATTTTGACTTTGGGAGCTTCTCAAGTGGCGCTTCGATCCCCTTTTGGTTGGGCCTTTGGGAAGCCAAAAAGACACCGTCGCCGTTTTTTTTTTTTTTTAAGGGGTCCCTCCCCAAGCCCTTGAAGGGCGACTTCTTCCCAGCTCCCCCTTTCGAAAATCAAGGTCTTCAACCTAGCCCTTGCGAAGCTCTTGGAGGGCTAGAAGACTTGCTGGTGCGCAGGGGACGAGTTTCAACTGCCGGGTTCCTTTCGGCTCCTCCCCTTGCACCGGTGAATCCAACACAACTCAGTTCAACCCCTTCCACCAATGCCCTAGCTACCCTTTGTGGCATATCTTGCCAAGGGAGGTTCGGACTTTCAACTCTTTTTGCCTGGGTCTTCCGCATTAAGCCACTCAAAGCCGTATTAAGCCACTCAAAGTGAGTTACACTTTTCGCAGGGCTTCGCAGACAGCAACCCGACCTACTGATCGCTTCCCAGCGACGGGTCCGTCTGGGCGCGGAGCTTGGAGGTGGCCAGCGCACGGGAGCGGGTGGCTTTGAAGGCGGAGGAGGTGCGCGCCTACGAGGAGAAGCTGCTGAAGGCGGGGTGGGGTGGGGTGGGGTGGGGTGGGGAGGGGTGGGGTGGGGTGGGGTGGGGTGGGGTGGGGTGGGGTGGGGTGGGGGGTTGGGCAGCCTGGGAATTTCGGGGAAATTGGGGCGGTGGGTTCGGGTTTGGGGGTTTGGGGGGTTGGGGGGTTTGGGGGTTTGGGGGTTTGGGGGTTTGGGGGTTTGGGGGAGTGTGGAGGGTGGGGATTGCTCGAATCAAAGTTTTTTTTTTTTTTTTTTTTTTTTTTTTTTTTTTTTTTTTTTTTTTTAAGGGGGGGGATATGGTTTTGGGGCGGGGGGGGGGGATGGTTTTTGGGGGAGGAGAGCCGAGCTTCTGGTCACGAAACCTAAAGATGGTTCCTCTTTGCCCCCGAGTTTCGTTTTCCCTCAAATAGCCTGGTTCCCACCTTGGAGAATAAATTCGCCGCGAATGATCTGACAAACCTTAGCAACCCAGAAAATTGCTCGCTTTTCTATCCATCTGAGTGTTCGAGTTTGAAGCGATGAGGTGGGCAGAAGCGAAGTGCCATCAGGATGCCACAATCACTTGGCGTGGGTTTGCGAGGGGGACCGTGTTTAGCAACACGTGTGCCTGTGCTTTGACAAATGCCCAGCAGTGCAATGCTACTGAGGCCGACGGAATTGCAGCCAGCGGCTTCCTCTAATGCAGCAGCAGTTTGTGTTGGCACAGGGCGCATTCCGCAGACACAACGGCATGCAATGCATCTGTTGTACACATGCTTACTTCTTACGCACACACACACACGCACACACACACACGCATAGTCTACATATATGCATGCATACGCACGCACGCACATGAATAATACATATGGACATATGTTGCATTTGTAAAGATACATTTCTGCACAGATGTGAACACGGATTTGTCTCTTCATAATTACGTGCGCACAGTGAAGGACCGCTTCAGAGCACAGCGACAGGTACGCTTGGCCCTGTGGCACCAGCGGCGGGATGTCAAGTCCATGCCGCTTGGCCAGGGTTGACATATCCGCGCACCCGAGACGCAGAGACCGCCGGACGTTCCGGCGGCAGGATCGTAGGTGTCCTTTTTTGTTGTTTTGGCAGAAAAATAGGTGGCCCTGGTTTACCTGATGGCTTACTCATCTACCAGGGCCATCTATTTCCCCCAATCGGGCACCTACGGGCAGGATGCCTTTTCTAACTTGCTAGAATCCCCGAGCTTAGTCCCACGAATTCCCCCAGAGCTCGCTCTGCGACTTTTCCGGTGAGTCCGCAAAGAAGTGGTGAGGATGGGCATCCCACTTCACACGGGGCAGTGCGCCATGAACTTGTGACGCACTTTTTTCCGCGGAGAGGCTGAACACCATGGTCTCGGACCGGGTCCAGCGTGAGCTGCTGCTCGGCTGGCTCTCGGCTATCCCGGTGTGCGGATTGGGGGGTGGGGGCTGGGTGTGAGCCACCAGGGCCAGTTTTCTTGCTGGTGCTCAGTAGGGAATGAAGGAATGAACCCAGGGGGGTCCTGTAAGGAAACCACTCGGTTGGATGGTTTTTGTCGGGGGTCATTCCATCCCTGCCTATCGCAGCAGCAAGTTTGTGGAGTGGTTTCAAGAGGCACGAAGCTCACATAGTGTTTTGCGTGGCGTATGTGGCATGGTCAGAGACTCAGATGCTGTTGTTTGACGTACGCGCTGCGTGCAAAAATGACGGCAAAGCAGCAGCAGAACGCGCCGTTGACGCGCCAGGGCTGGAGTGAGAAGAAGACGGCCTGGCAAGCCTGGAAACTCGTTGAGGCCCTCAAGGATAAGGCTTCAGGATGGAAAGATAGACTCCTCAAGCAGGCATGGGAATGGACGGGGATGGTCAACCAGAAGACTCCGATTAGTCGGCGGCATGATATCGCTGCCGATCTATAGTATATTTTGCGTGTGTGACAAAGTTGACTGGGTGAATGCAGATGGCCCCATTTCCTCCTTTTGGCGTAATCATCCCCTTTGCTTGCCCACAACGGAATTGTGCCATCTACTTTCACCCCGGATTCCCCCCCGTCCCACATGGACCCCCAAACGAAAGTCCAAAAGGCAGAATTCCAAGTTTTTTCAAAGCCGACCTTTTGACCTGTTGGCTTTCCTATTTTGGTCCACTCATGGCCGTCACGGCCCCAAAAGGCGATCACTTTTTGTTTTCCTTTGGGGAAGCGAGGTTCTAAAAACGTGCAAAAGGCCAAATTCCCAAGATGTCGGCTTCATCGGAGCACTCCTAAAAACCCAAGCCCGTGTTTTTCTATTTTGTGTAAAAGTCGAACCCGCCAGTTCCAAAAAACGCTCGGGCAGCCAGGCCAGGTCCCCCAGCTAGGTGCCAACTTTTACCCTTTTTTTTTGGGGGAGGGCTCCCCTACTCAATCAGACTACAGAAGAAGGGGGTTATTCTAACCTCCCTACTGGAGGACCTAGGTGTCAGGTGTCTGGACCTCACGAGCAGAGGTTCGAGGTGGACCGACTGCATCGCTCGCACCGCGGCATCACCTCCGCCGCCTACGAGGCGCCTCGGTTTTTTGGGGGGCGGTGTGGGTGTTTTTGCACAGAGGACACCTGACGGTTGGGTTCATACTGTGGATGGACGAAATCCTGCACCACCTAATCAGCCATGACACCATTGTTTGTTGGTATTTGTAGGGGGGTCAACATTCCAGGGTTTCTTAGGTGGTGCAGGATTCCGTCCATCTACAGTATAACCGCCGTTGCTTACCGAAGGATCGTCCTCTTCCAAACTGGGCTTCTTTTCATGGTTGCACCCGTCTCTTTGCCCAGGTCTGAAGGGCTTAAGGCGGTGGACCCCCCCCCCACTGACCTCAGTTCCCATGTAAAACCCCCCCTCTTTTGCTTGGTTTTCAGGGGGGGCCCAGGGGAAAAGCGGGAAGGCTTGGGCATGCCTTTTGATATTTTCAGTTGTTCGGCCGGATCTGACCTTTTGGTTTTCCCATTTTGGTCCATTTGTAGTCGTGACCCTAAAATGTGATCACCTTGTGCGGCTGGGTCCAGGGCAAACTCAAAGGCAAGCCATTGTGGGGGTTTCCTAGCTTGATACAAAGCCGTTTGCTTTGATGGATTTAAACACCGCGTGTTGCACCCATGCTTGGCGAGTTTTGCTTTTGGCTGGGGTGATGTTTGCAGAGGAACTCTGGCTATGGATTATTTGATGGGGAAGCCCCTCAATGATCGGTGAAATAAGGCCCCCATGTAAGTGATTAAAGTTTATTACCAAAAAATCGGGCGCTATGGTGTATCATCGCTGGCTATTTCTAAGTTTCTCGGGCCAGCAGTGCTTCCAAATTTGGGACCTGTGGGATAGCGCTAGAGGGAGAGAAGGACAGAGAGAGAGGGAGACAGAGAGCGAGATTTGGGTGCATGTTTGTTGGAGGCACCTGCTTGTTTTTGTTTTTTTCCTGGTTTTTCGGGGAAACCCAAAGGAACCCCACCAGCTTGGGGTCCCCTAAAGAAAGACAGTCGTGTATATTTATCTATTTTGTCACAATCTGTTCCAAGCTAATTTCATCTATTTATCCATCTATCCATCTATCTCTCTATCCATTTGTTTGACTGTCTATCAACCTCTCTATCTACCTTCCTATCTACCTATCTTCCTATCTTCCTATCTTCCTATCTACCTATCTACCTATCTACCTATCTACCTATCTACCTATCTACCTATCTACCTATCCATCCATCCATCCATCCAATCCTAATCTTATCTTATCTTATCTTGGCTTATGTTGTCTTCTCTTATCTATCTGCCTGTAGGTGGAGCACCGCCGGGATGCGGAGGTGCGGGAGGAGCTGATCGAGGCGCGTGGTTTTGCGCGAGAAGAAGGGACTTTAGAAGCAGAAACTCGTCTTGCCGTGTTGCCACAGTTGTTTTTGTTTAACCATGTTGGCGTATGCTTGTTGCCAGTCATGTTTTGTTTCCATGTGTTTGTTGACACGCTTTTGCGTTGCTGTGTTTTGCAATTTTTCCGGTGTTGCCCATATGGCATGTTGCTCAAAAAATGTGAAAGCAAAAGGCTAACACCTGCGTAGCCGTAGCTCTTTAATTTTGAGCCACACCCATAGGTTTCTTGCCATAGTTTTGTGTTGTTGTTTGTTGCCTATATTCTTTTCATTCTAATGTTGCTGCCATATATATTTATATATAAACAATATATATGTATACAACTATTTACAAATACAAATATACAAATATATACATATATGTATATATGTATACGTATATGCGTACACATAGATATATTTTTTCTGGGGGGGGGTAAGCAGCAGGAGATGATTAGCAGGCCCAGGCGTGTGAAGCCAAGTTTTTTTGGAGAAGGGTTCCTGGTGGGGGGGCAAGGGGGGTTGGTGGGGAGGGAAGCCGCTGCTTCTCAAGTTTGCGGTTGGTTGCAAAACCGCGCAAGGAGCCACATTTCGGTTAGCTACCTGAATGGCAAGAGGCAAGACTTGGCTTGAGGCCGCTTTTGTAAGAGGGGAACAATGAGTGTTCATCCCCAAATCCCCAAATGCGACATCTCGACGTGGAAGTGTCCAAAGAGGGCGTCGATTCTCCGCGCGCGGCTTCAGGAGCTGGGGAATTTGGATGCGTCGCTGACGCGCGCGCAGAGCTGCTTCAAGGAATACCGCAAGGACATGCTTCAGGCCGGGCGCCTCTCTGGAGCATCTTCCGGGAAGGGGCGGGGGGTTCTTGGGGAGGACGTTTTGGGCTTTGGCTTTGCAAAGCCGAGGCAATGCTTCCCTTCTTTTTCACTGTTCCCATAATTTTCTGGCCTCCCCTCTGTCTGCCCTGGCCTACACTTTCCTGCTTCCCTTCCCTACCTGCTTTCCTTTCCTTTCCTTTCCTTTCCTTCCTTCCCTTCCTTCCTTTGAATGCTCTTCCATTTAGCTCCGATGGGAGCTTCCACGAAGGCCCGGGCCGAGGAGTTTCTTGAGGTCGCCATGAGGCCTGATGAAAATCGGACTGGGTGAAGTTTGAAGCTTCCAGGCCCCAAGGTTTCCGTTTTGGTCTGTCCATTTGCGCCAGGGTGGTTGCGATGTTTGACGCAAACATATCGCGCATATTTTTTTTGGCTCCTGGCCCAAGAATTCGAAGCGGCCTCGAAGTGGGAGCAGGCTGTTCAGCAAGAGATGCAGAAGCTGAAGCAGAGCATGATGACCCAGCTGCAGAACAGGCCTCTTGGCGCCCCATGGCTCCCCATGGGGCCGGCCCCTCCCGGCCTCGCCCGCACACGGGTTCCCACCTGGCCACCCATGGGGTCAGTTCGTGGCCTAAAGAGTTTCAGTTTTGTGGGATCGCTCGGGGTTTATCCCTCACCACTTCTGTCATACCTTCGGGAATCTTCTCTTTTATATGGGGTTAGTCTTTCGGAAGCCTTTTGTGTTGTATCACAGAAGTGGATTCCATTTTCCACAGCCCTGAACAGTTTTCTCTTCACCGCAGCCTGTAGGGGCAGAAGAAAAACCATCCGAGGCTGCCGATGCAAACCTTGGCGGTTCAGAATGCCCTGAAGAAGTTCGAGAGGGAGTCGGCGGGCCTCGCAGTTTTGCTTGGACGTGCGTCAAGAAGAAATTTGCCATCCGTCATGGAGAAAGGGCCCCATCCCAATTCAAGCCCACCCCTCCCACTCCCCGAACCACCCCCTCCCCCCCTCCCTCTTCCCCAAACCCCCCCCCCCCCCGCCACCCCCCCGCCCCCCCTACCCATTCCCCACACTCCACGCCCCACTTCGCCAGGTAGAGGAGTCCCAGGCTCGCGTTTTCTTCGAGCGGGCCGTCCGTTCAGGAAACCTGCGGGTCCGATTCCTGGCTCAACTTTCCCGTTGAGGGAGCCCACGGGTCTAGTTCTGGTTGAAATCCTAGTGTGTCCAATCTTTGTGGGGAGTTAGACCACCTTTGGAGGGGGACACCTGCAAAAGGACGGGTTTATTTGTTTGGGGCCTTGACAGCCATCGAGGGGGCATGGGGACGAAAAAGCAAATGGAGGCCAATGAGTCTTTTTTGCAACCACCTTCTGCTTTCATGGCATGACTTCGGCTCTGTGCACAGGCGTCAGATTTCAGTAGTCGCCTTTTTTCCCGGGGATATGCTCAAGGATGTCCTTGTGGCACTTCGCCGTGTCAGCAGCAGCCATTACCTGGATTTTTCAAGCAGGGATGTCTAGGATTTCTTCTCCCATCTTCTCCCACACTGGTTTGGGTGAGAATTATACCACCAGGGACCGCAGGTTTTAGTCCATGTTTCCATTTGCCAGGGTTCCATTCTGGGTAGCTATTTTTGCCTCACACTTGTTTCTTTCTGCACCTCCAAAAGGCAAACCACCAGTAAATTGCAACTTTTAAGGGGGAAATCCAGAGACCCCTGTGCAGAAGATGTGGAAAGGTGGGACGTTGAACAAATTCGAATGATGAGCCGGCCTGCACTTTGCAAATGTGCTTTCTGTTCATGCAGGCGTTTACTCAAGTCACCCCCATAATTGGTGGTTTGGATTCTGTGTGGGAGCTTTTTGGGGCCTCGCGACACCACTCTCTAACGTCCACATGAAAGGGAAGCTGAGTTTCTCCCCCCTGTGAAACTGTGACGGCTTTTTTTCGGCCTTCCAAATCACCGCGAAGCAAATCGTGGGAGATTGGCATCCGAGTGGCTGCGAACCTGATCAACATTGGAGCGTGTCTGCTTGTACCCTCAAAAAAGACACCCATTGGTAACATCTCCAAAATCATTTTGAGATCTGCCCGCTGGATTCGTTGGGGTGTGTTGGGAGTAGTGTCTTCCCTGTGGTGCATAGTGCAAACTCCCCCTGTGTGCAGGTACACATGCACATAGAACAGGATGTATGTAATTTGTTGATCTGTGAACGTTCCTTGAAACCAAGCTCTCCAGAAAGGGGCCCGGCCTGCAGTGTCCTTCAAGTCATTCCTTAAGCTGCTGCCACCCTGGTGGTGTTTGGGGTGGGGACCCCCCCCGCCTTTGTGAAGAGAGGCGCTCGCCTGCGAAAGCCCGCTTCCGAAGGCCAGGCATTGGCTCAGGCTCTCACGACATGTCACGCGTTTCTTTTTTTTGGTGTGCCACTGCAAGAAAGAGACGTCCGGCAACCCGGCAGGTTGGCGGTTTGGAGGTTTGGTGGTTTGGATTGGATTTCAACCCCTGGCTTTTGTAGAGGTTGCATGGGAAACCCCTGAGCCACCAAGCCACCAAGCCTTGACCTTGCTTCCAGGGAAGCTGAACTCTTGCAACGACGGGTTCGCGAGATGAGATGCCATTGAGGAGGTTGCAGGATTCCATAATCTTGACTCGTGCGACTCTCACCGAGGGGTCCGTATCTCCCAGCGCTGCCATGGCAGAGCCGCTGAGCCCAGAGTGGGAAGACAGCGCGAGCGATGAGGAGGACACTTTGCCAGGCGAGCATGGCCGAAATGGTGTGGCGTTCCTAATTGCATGGCTTGCCTGAAGGCGTAATTTTGGAAGGCCCAGCCCTTTCGGCCAAAGGACCAGTGGAAAAGGTGGACTCCTCCTGCAGTCGGGCCAACGGCTTCTGTGGTCCTTGCATGCGACAAATGGGCTAAAGCCAGCCTGATTCGCTCGCGCAGCCGTTTTGGTAGGACTTCTTGTAGGAGATCTAGTAGGACTTCTGCATAGTGTTGGCGCGCCGGATCCGTCTTTCAATGACGATGGCGATGCGACTACAGAACCTTCCTCGCGAGGAACTCGTTGATGCCGGGGATGCTGCTGCTTGATCCGAAGGCTGTCCTTGTTTTTGTTGTTTCGAAAACCTGCAGCGCCTGACAAGACAGCGTTTGACCCAAGCTGGTTCTGATCACTGCCGGGGGGGGGGGGGGGAAGTGCAGAACTTTTGCCGGCTTGCAAAGGCACTCTGAAGGGGCCAAAGATAGGGATGCACGCTGCACTCAGGCTTATCTGACATGTTGCGAAGGTGGTGCGCCTTACCCTTTGAGAGAAACTGCTTGCGTTTCAACTAACAATCGAATGCATATATGCAGATCCGTAAGCAATTGGACGTGCATTTTGGCACATACATACATACGTACGCACCAGATACACCCACCCTCCCACCCACCCACCCACCCACCCACCCACCCACCCACCCAACCAACCAACCAACCAACCAACCAACCAACCAACCAACCAACCAACCAACCAACCAACCAACCAACCAACCAACCAACCACCCAACCTACCCATATCTACCTACCCGCATACACCTGCGGGTAGACATAGACATGTACAGAGACATAGACATGTACATAAAGATACATATGTACATTGACATAGACAATATACTCATACATGTACTTATGCATATTGCAGGCACATATGCATGTGCATATGCATGTGCAGCATACATATACATGTGCAGTATACATATACATATACATATGCACGCATGTACGTGCATATACATCAATATGCATGCATACCGAAAACCCCATATGCCATGGCCTCGCCTTGCCCCATTCGAGGTTTGCTACCGCGGCTTCCTGATCCGCAAGAAGCCCAAGGACCCTCGGCCGGTCCGAGCGGGGGCGGGGGGGGGGGTCCCACGAAATGGGAAGTTGGCTCTCAGGAAGCCGGGGGTTTTTCGCCACTACGGTTAATGTTGACCCAGGATGAATAAACCGTCCTATTGTTAGGGGGGTGTTCCCTCCAAAAGTGGTCTGAATCCCTGCTAAAAGGGGACCCCCCCCTATTAATCAACCCCAAGGTTTATTAATCCGGGGGGTTAACATTAAGCAGGGCTAGCTGTTCATTTCGGAGTTGCCCGCTACTGCCGTTGGGTCGGATCTTTAGACTTTATCTTGAGGTCATATTTGCTTTTAACTGGCAAAACGTGTATAACTTTTTGCTGAGGGATCTACAGCACCCAAGTAAAATGGCATCTGAAACGGGGTCCCTCCAAAAGGAAACTGACCTTCCAGGTGCCATGTTGGTGAGAGAAAGGGCATGTTGCACTAGGAAATGTGTTTGCACTAGGAATGTTTTTGGCTTGTTCATTGGGAATGTTTATGGGTTGTGCATTGGGATCTCTTGGGATATATGATGATAGCATGCCGTGCGTGTGTGCGTTTTGTTTCTATCTTTCCTTGTCCTGTTTTTTTTGGGGTGGGGGACCCTATTTAGGGCTTTTTAAAGCGAAGCCGAAGCCCAATTTTGGGATTCCTTCATTTAGAGGCACGCCTTCGCTGCTGTTCGTTCTCGGCCTAGGGTCCAACCAGTCAAGTTTCTGTTTGTTCAATCAGCGGATGGCAGGTCGGAGGTGGGCTGATCCGATGACTGCCAGCATGTTTCAATAGCATGGTTGTCGTATAGGCTGCACAGGTTGTGACAGAAGAGCTGTCAGTATCAAGCTTAGTCGATGTGGTGTCTGAAGGTATGGCCTTGTCAGCATATTTGTTTTGTCGATGCTTAGCCAAAAGCACACCGAGCGAGTACCATCTCTTTGCTAGACTAACTCCAACGCCTCTACAGAATATCTCCCTCGCTCTCCTCCCCATAACAATCGATACGTGTATGCGTGTCAAAATCGGGGGCCCAACAATTGTGGCTTCCTTTTGGTTTCCCTTGCGCTTGCAACCCCAAAACGGGTACCCTGCAAAGAGGGACCCGTGTACAAATTTCACGAACAACTCCGGAACCGTTCCTTGAGCGCACATGACCGCATCGATATTTGGGGAGCTCCGCATCAATCTTTGCTTGTAGTACTTCATGTTCATATGAGTATCGGTTTGTACGCAAACATATTTATGGCATGTAGAGGTGGTACCCGGCCACGCATGCTTTTCCGTCTTCACACGTTGGGGAGCTGGGAGGGGTACTTGGGAAGAAAACTTGTTAAACAAAGGCTGGGTTCGAAGGTTGACCAGCTTTGAGCCTATTCAGTCCAAAGTTGACATTCATTCATCCTTTCGTTGGCTGGCTTCCTGTGTTGGCAGGTGTTTTTGCTCTTTTGTTTCGGTGTATGCCAGAACGGTTTCTCTCTGTAGCTTCCGACCAGGCCCATTCGCAGGCAAAGGGTGCCAGCGTGTGACTCTTTTGATTGCGTGGTGCCGTTGTTGATGTTTTTTTTTGCCTTGGGTATTTGTTTGTTGCCTTGCTCCGCGGCTCCGGTTGGTTTCCACTTGTCGGTTCCCTTGGCTTTGGGTTTCCCCCTTTCTTGTCTGAGGCGCCGGTGGAATTGCCGGTCAGCCGCAGTCTGACCGACCTGCCCGCCGAGCCCACATCACCAGTTTCACTCAAACCTACCTCCGGCAGCCCCAGCGGTGCCTGAGTCAGAGATTGGCGCGTGCCACGCGCGGCAAGGAATGGCCTCACTCCCTGATTACCTGGACTTTATAAACTTTTTGGGAAGACCATTTCAGTGGCAAACAACAAGTTTAGGCTTTTTCTGGCCGATCCAACTCCGGATGTGAGTGGCTGATAGTGGCTATTGGTGTCTAATTCATGGTGGCTAGTAGTGGCTGATTGCGGCTACTAGTGATCAATAATGACAGATGGTGACGAATAGTCACAATGGTGGCTGACTAGGTGCCATTCAGGATTGAGTCATGTCCAGTTTTGGAAGCATGGTAGCTTAGTAATTGTTCAGGCAAAGTTGGATGCCATAGCAGCTGAGTGACTGCACTGCAGTTCAGAAGTTCAGGATTGAGTCAGAGAAAGTCTGGGCAGACAGTCTGGTCGTCACCATGGGGGTTTAAACCAGACAGTCTATGACAGGGCTCCTTTAAAAAACACAT